CTCATTCAACATGGAAACGCCAGCCCCAGGGGGAGCTGCCTGGCGGCTGCCTGGGCTTAACCAGTGACTAGGAGCTAGGCTTGGCTTCACTTGGTCCTTTACAGCTTCCCTTCCTCCCACAGGTAATGACACTTTATACAAATTTCCCATGTAAACAACTCGAAACAATTTGGGGATAGCATTGTGGCAAGGCTCCCTAAGTTGATGCTCCCTGTCCCAGCGTCTCCTTTGTGAGCAGAGATCGATAACATGGAGTTTATCATGACCATCAATTCCAGCTTGTTAGACAGCCGTATCACTCCCTTCTCACAAAGCCTTGTTTTTATCTCTAGTGGAAAGTGGCTTGACTTTGAACAAAAATAAAAGTAAAAGGGGGACTTGTATGGCTTAATTTTGCAGAGGGATGTAGCTCTTCTCAAATGAGTAAGGGCTCAGTCTTTACAGTGAGGCATCCTTGAAGAGGTTAAATGCAGGAGGCCTGCTTACACTGCCCCGTTCCTTGGGCTCTGCTCTGCAGAAGTGAGTGTGGGGAGCAAGGGAAGCCATCCAGGGCAGGCAGCTGGGTTGTCCTGAAAGGGCAGGGGCAGGGTCTTGGCTTTGGCCAGGTGTGGCCCAGTCCTAGAGGATCTAGGTGCTGGGAGAGCATCTCAGTGGTGCACTGTGACTATGGCTGACTGGTGAAACCAGGTGGATTGTGCAGCAGCCACACAGGGCTTGGTCAGGAGCAGCCCTCTTAGAAGTATGTTGCTATTGCAGGCCACATGTAGGCTACAGCAGGAAATGTCTGCTTCTTGTTCAGCACCCCGCAGTAGTGGGGCTGTGACCAGCAAGTATGCGCACATCTTGGCTGACGTGACCTATTCTACTCTCTTCACCCCTCCCCTCAGCTGTGTGCTCTGTTCCAGTGTGGAGAGGAAGGCCTGCATCTGTGTGTCTATGTGGCGTATATGTGCGGCTTCAGGAACTTGAAAGGGAATTTAGCTAACAAACCAACAGGATGCCTGCTGTGTGCTGGGCACCGTGCCGGGCAGTGGGCATGCACAGTCAGCAGAGTCAGTCTCTGCCCCCGCAAAGCTGGGATCTACTCACAGGCCAACCAGCTGACCTAGTGTGTTAGGAACATTCAGTGTTGAAACTGGGAAAATCCTGGGCAAGCCTGGATGACTTCGTCACCTTTGTTATAACTTAGATCCCGAATGTCCCCCCAAAATTCTCATGTGCTCAGAGACAGGGCTTTTTGGAGGTGATTGGATCACTGGGGTGCCGTACTCCTCAGTGGATGTCACCTGTTCATGAGTTCAGCAGCTGAGTTTGCTGTTAGGAGGCGGGGAGGTGGGTCACCAGCTGTGTGACCTAGAAGGGTGAACTTCCCACTCTGACACCTCCCTTCTTTGCCAAGTAGCAAGTGGTGGTAAAAAGGATCTGGTGGGAAGAAGGGGAAAGTTTACAAGCTATGTTGGCAGTGGAATGTGTGCTGCTCACCCCATGTGACACACGTCTCTTAAGGATCACTTCCTGCTCCGATGAGGACATGGGCGAAGAGCTGAGGTACCTGTCCATGGTCACACAGCAAGATAGGGCAAAGCTGGGGCCGGCACCTGGTGCCTTTACTCACTGCACGATGCTCAATGCTTGTTCCCCGAAATCTATCTGTCTTGTGTGTTCGATCTTGCCCTGCCCTCACCTCTCTACTTATCCAGACCCACTTTCTTCAGGTTAAGTGCAGAAGATCTGGAGGCAGGGGTGGGGGAGAGGGAGGGAGTCATGTGATAAAAGAGAGCAGCGGGCAGAAGGTGGCTGGGCTATGAGGACCCAGCAGCCCCCAGGAGAGAAGAGGAGAAAAAAAAGATTTAAAGAGTTCAGGACATTTAGCCTGGAGGGGTCACTTAATTACAGTGCAAAGAAACTGAGAAGTTCCTGAGACCTGATGCGAGGAAGCAGGGCCATAAGTTCAAGGGAAGGGAGGACAGGAGAACAACCTGCTGGTGGAGGAAGACCTGCATCTCAGATGGGAGAGGCTTGTAAGAAAAAGGAGCATTCTGAGACCAGCGGTGTGCATGTGAAAATAAACCTGTTAGCTTTGTTTCATGCCAAGAACAGTCACTGAGCACCTACTATGTGTCAGGCTCAAGTGAGGAGGTAGCAGAGTCTCAAAGCAAAGTCCTTGCTGTCAGGGAGCACCATTATAATAGTAGGAGAGAGAGATGTAAATAAATGCAAGTATGATAAAATACACTAGCTGTGCTGTTCTGTACAAGAATTTTCATATAAAAACCTTGCGTATGAAAAGTCCTTCATATGAAAATAGTGATCAGCAGGGTTTAGCTTGTAAAACAAATATAAATTTTGATTCTGCTTGGAGAAAAAATGTCATTAGACGTAGGTTCCAGAGACCAGCGGCTCACACCATTACGGCTGCTATTGGGAGAAACTGAAATTGGCATCCTAGGAAAGGGGTGATTTGTTAGTTATATTCTGAACTAGGAAGGGAAGCTAGTAAGAGAAGGTAGTTACCTCCTATCTGTGAAAACCAGAAAGAAATCACGGGAAACCCTCTGGGTGAACACAGAGGTCAAGAGCCACAGGTTCTACTGCTCGCGGAATGCAGCAGGTAGGACAATGAGCTTGTACCAGTATATTGATCTTATTGGGAGCTGTCCACTGTACTGATATTAAAGAAGAATGAAGACTGTGTGCTGTTTGGTTGAACATGTAGGGCATTACTTTTAACATGCAATTCACAAGTAGTTTCTATGCTAATATGCATGTCTGTTTCCATGTCCAGGAAAACCCACTGGTCTTAATTACTGTCCCATAAATAAGGACAAGCCAGAAGAATTATTGACTGTCAACCACAAACCTTTTAGTTGTTGTTACAATAATTGTATTCACAATGACAAAAACAGTTTTGGAAATGATTCAATAAGCTTAAGAAATCATTCCAAGCCCAGCATAGAGGTCACATCTACATTTCCAGCCCTTGGGAAGCTGAAGCAGGAGGATTGCAAGTTCAACCTATGCAGCTAACCTGGGCTACATAGAAAGACCTTGTCTCCAAAAGTCATTCCAGTCTTTCTCTTTCATTAAAGCTTCTCCAGCCACCTCTCCACTCCCTTCATCCATTCACTGCAGTTAGATAAGCTGGCTTCCTCCTGACCAGCCACAGCACCATCCATAGGCCAAGTGGGACCTTCCCATTCCATGGAAGTTTCTAGTCCAACCTTGTCTCTTCATAGAAGGCTTCCTGGCCACTCCCGAGAACAGCTAGGGCATCACTGTGTCATCTTATCTCTCACTACTCTTCATCTTAGCATTGGCATCACATTGTACTGTCTTTTTGCTTCCATGTTTGTCTATTTCCCTTGTCAAAGAATAAGCTCCATGAGGACAAGGACTATGTACGATTCTCTCTGTGCCTAAAATACTACCCGCCTGGTGGAAGAAGCTGAATAAATATTTAGTCGATTAAATACAAGAATGAATGAATTCTACACCAATCTGTTAACTTAATAGTCTTATTAAAATTGCAAGTACGAAGTAGATTTGGGAAAAGACTCCACTCTTTCCCTTCCCCCACCTCCCGTCTCCCTTTGGCGAGAGAGAAGGAGAGCTGGAAATAGAATGGGAGAAGTTTCTGTAAATTTCTGGTAACCATAGAGACAGTGATTTTAGTTTATTAATCTCATGCTCTTAAGCAGGCTGGGGCCCCATGGTGATTTCTCCAAATTGCTCAGTGCTGGTTATCCTGCAGCCTTCCTCATTAAGGAAGAGCAGGCCCATTCCTATCCTGCAGCACTTTAATTACTGACGAGCAGAAGCCCAGCACTATTACACTCATTATAGCATGCTCTAACCTGGCCACACCTCCCACTTTGGAGCAACAGAACCTGGTCACCACCCTTAAACCCCTGGAGGCTTCAGTGGCAGGTGGTGGCTGTGGGCCACCTCCTCTCCAAGCCCAGATCTTGGGATGGGGGTTGAAATTTCTGCCTGTGTTTGCAAATGGCAGCTCAGTGCCATCTGGAATAGCACTTAGTTTCAGCCAGGGAAAGACGCAGTATGGTTTCCTGCCACCGAGACTGTGCTTTCAGAGGAAAGGTTATGCCCTTGAGGACCAGGGCACTTCTTCCTGTCTGGCACCTTTTGGGAGTGTGATTTAAGGGTTGTTTGTTCCTCTTCTGATGGGGAATGGCACACAGCCTTTTACAAGTTTGCCTGTAGTTCTTTGGGTAATGGCTTCAGGGAGGACTTTTTTCTATGGCTGTTTCTTCTCCAAATAAGAGTCTGGTGCAGACAGCAGAAAACCAGAGGTGTGATTTTATCTTAGCAGTACTCTTCCAGTGAAACCATAGGTGGGGACTCAAGCTCCTTGGGCCTCAGTGTCATTTACAAACGAGATTGAACTTGGTACTTCTGTAACTCATTTGTCCTGAGACTCTGACAGTAACTTCAGTCTGATTCCAAGGCTGGACCCTGAATGAATGATGCGTAGAAGAAACGCCCAAGCAAGACTCCTGCTGGAGTGAAAGAGTGTGTCTGGCTAGTAAAAGTCTCTCGGGGGAGACAAACGTCCCTCCTAAGGCTGGTCTGACCTAAGGTCTGGTCTCACTCGGTGTTGTTGCTGTGGAAATACGAAGACTTGCTCTGCTGTAATTTCCATCCTGTTGGCTTAGAAACATTGAGTCACCCTTCCAGGGGACACTCAGGGACAGCACGCAGATGCCACATGCTGCGCTGCATGCTTGGGTCCAGCTGCCTAGCTGAGATAGGCACTGGCAATTTCTCCTGCAGTGTGCGACAAAGTGTTTCAGTGGCTGTGGGTTTTTCTGCTGCATGTGTAGGGGTCATCTTCCCCGTAACAGAGAAGAGGGCCTTGGCAGAGTCTGGACTTCTGAGCATACAAGCAGCAAAGCTGGAGTGACACACAGGCTGGGACTGCACCCAGGTGCCTCCAGCTGAAGGACCAACCGATCCAAGAGCTTGGCTGTTCTTCTTTCTAGATGCCGCAACCTGTCGTTCCCCAACAGCCTACCGGAAGTGAGCATTGTGTTCATCTTTGTCAACGAGGCTCTCTCCGTGCTGCTGCGCTCCATCCACTCAGCCATCGAGCGCACGCCCTCACACCTGCTCAAGGAGATCATCCTGGTGGACGACAACAGCAGCAATGGTGAGTACCCACCTCAGCCTCAGGTTCTCGTTTTCTTAAGAATCTTGGTGAGTATCACTTCTTTGGCATGTCATCTCGTGTACACTGACAGTGACTGTTTTCTATGAAGCAGCATTGCATTGAGAGGTGTTCTTTGGTCTTGGCCTGGAGGATGGTTACTTGGTGCTGTGTTAGCAGTGCTGGTGATGATGGTGGAGGTGTTGATGGTGCTGCTGGCGGAGGGTGTAGTAGTGGTGGTGGGGGGATGGTAACAGATGTGTAAGCCAATAATAGCAATAGAGCTGGCTACTGTCTAGCATCTTTGCTGGATGCCTTGTGTCATTCTCCATCTGTCCCTAGCAAGGCCCCAGGTGACCTGCAAATGCCTCATTGAAATCTTTCTGTCACGACCTCTCCTTCCCCAGCCACAACAGCTACCTCTGCCCCTTGGTACACATTTCCTGACCTCTGGTCCCCCCACATCTACCATCCCCATAATTCTCCAAGCTTAATGACCACATGTGAAGACAGTTTAGAAACTGCCCTTGATGAGACCATTTATATGGATGTGCTTCTGAGAGTGTGTGATTTTTAAAAATAGACAGTGAGGTCACCAGATCATAAGAGTCCCTGGGCTTGTGTTATCTTTTTGAGCCTTCTCTGCTATAGGTAATAAATTTCCCAGTGAATCAGTTGCTATAATGAGATGGGCAATTTGTGATTTGTTATCAATTAAAGCTGAAACGTATCAGATAATTGAAATGCATTTAATCTCAATAAGCGAATTTTCTTTCTCGTTTTATCATCATGTACTAGGAAGTGTAGGAGCAGTTCTGTGAGGGGATTTTAGAGCTCTCTGAAGGACAGTGCTCATGAATCACTGGACTCTCTTTGTTCCAGAAAGGAAGGAAAAGGTGTCAAGGATGTTAGCCAGTAGATAATATAGTTTCAAAGGTGACTCTGCCAAGGGGCCCAATGAGGAGACAGGAAGAGGCCCAGCTCCCATCTCTGTTAGCTGTCTACTGACACTTCTCTTGGCCCCCAAAGAAAGCTCCCATCCTCCAATGGTTCACATCAAGCAGCCCATGTGCCTACCCCTTGGCTTTACCCAGGCCTGCCAGTCCCTTCCCACCTTACAAGGATGCAAGGGATGAAGGATGAGGACATCCCCAAACCAAGGAGCGTCCATGGACCCTGTCCTGTGGCACTTCCTCATATACCAGAGAGCAGAATTCCATTTGTCTTTAATTTATATGGACAAGTGAGCAAAGGTTGATATTGCATTCGAGAAATTTAATTGTATTTGAGAAACTTGGAAGAAAAAAGCAAGTCAGATGTGCAGGGTCAAATATTTGAATTCAAAAGTTTGGATTTTATTTTGTTAATGATGGTTACCATCAAAAGTTTTCGATCAGAAGAATGAAGTGGTGAAAGTGGGACAATCAAGATTGGTCATCAAGATTGGTCATCATAGTACAGGCTAGCGGAAGGGTTATCTGGAGAAAGGAAATTGGTGAGAAGGCTATTGCTGCAGGACAGACAAGGGGCACTCCACACCCCTGGAGTTCTAGGGTGTGTGTGCGGATGAAGGGCAAGACACAGTCCTGATAAGTATTGAAAGGAAGTTTCTGTTGGACCTGTCGTTGGCAGGTGGGCCAAAGGAGGGCAGGTCAGTGAGAACCACAAGTTGCAAGTCCGGGTATCTTCAAGGATGAAAGTAAGTAACCCTGAGAGGGAGGCGGAAGGAACAGTGATTTGGTGCAGTCTTTATTCCTATGTGATGTGTGCTAGAATGAATCACTTTGGAGATTTCAAAACCAAAGCTTTCGGGAGTTTTGTGGTGATGGTACAGTTTTATGGTTTTGTGGCGATGGTACAGTTAAGTGTCTTGACTGTAGCAGTGGTTGCACAAAGCTACATGTGTGTTAAAACACGCAGCTTTCCACGCATGCTCCCATGGATGCCCGAATAACTGCAGAGATCTGAACAAGCCTCATGAAGTGTAGCAACATCAGTGTCCTGGCTTTGACACTGCACTGTAGTTGTGTAAGACGTTACCACTGAGGAGGCTGCGTGGTGGCTGGATGGCACCTTCTTGTACATCTGTATGTACCTTTCATTATTTCAAAATTGAAGGTTAAAATGAATAAACCAAAGTATCTCCCCGCCCCCCAAGATCCATATTAAATCTGAGGTGGAATCTGGACATCACTATTTTAGAAAACATTCTTCTTGAGTCACAGCTCTGGCTGAGAGCCTGTGGCTGGATACATAACATGTAGCTTCTCATTCACCCATGTCGAGTTTCCTGCATACAGTGTGAAGGGAAGAACTTGGAAGTCATGGATTCAGGGGCCCTCTGCCTGGTGGATAAGAGACCATGGGAAGACCCTCAGCCCGCTCTGTCTCAGCTTCTTCCTCTGTGGAAAGGGGATGATAGCTTACCCCTGCCTGCCTTCCCTGCCTGCAGTGATGAATATGTGACTGTGAACTGACCAGTCAGTGTCACTGCCCCCAGCCTCCAGGACACTGCCAGGAAGGCTGGATACAACTGGTGACCTGCACAACCAGAGCTCAGGAGAAGGAAGCAAGGGGACTTGCATTTGGAGTCTTGTGGAGAGTGAATGAAATCTCCTCTCTGCGAGGAGGTGTCAGGAGAGAAGAGGAGGGGTGATGTGGAGGAGAGATAGACAGAACAAAAGCTGGAGAGAGCACTGGGGGGAAGATACTCAGGACCCAGGAGGATGGGTTAACTGGTGAGAGACAGAGAAGGAAAGCCATAGAAATCTGAAACACAATATAGTCCCATGGATGGAAAGAGCCTCAGGTAGTTATCTGTTCACAGAGGTGGAAGGACAAGGCGTCCGAGAAGCCCCTGCATTTGGCAGGTGCCGGTCATGGAGCCCCAAAGAGAAGCAGCGTTAGTGAAAGGCTGGGCTAGGTGGTAGAAGCCAGGCAAACAAGAGCAGATAGTGGATGCAGAGTTTTCTGCCAGGGATTTTGATGATGGAGGAGAATCTCAAGCTCAGGCAAGAACTGAGGCAATGTTTTTCAAAAATAAAAACTAAAACTCACTATGATCTACAGCAAGAAATAAATTTACATCGTGACCCAGAATGACATACCTGCTCATACCCGTACATGCAGGATTGAAACAAAACTTTTAAGAAATAATACCTACCTGTACCAAGTGCAAGACACTCTGCTATTTTCTATTGTGTTCTGTTCTGTGCTATTCAGTTCTATTGTATTGTATTTTATTCTACTTCTCTCCTCCTCTTTTAAAAGCAGGTTGTTCTCAATACCCTGAGTGCATATTAGAATCTCTTAGAGAGCTGTTTAAGCATTCGGGGGTCCAAGTGGTGACTGAATGGTTCTGGAGAGGAGCACCTGAGTCCCTTGAGGCCAAGGTCTGCAGCAAGCTCTCTGTGGAGGGAGAAGATGGATCCAGGGCCCAGAAACCAGGGCTGCCTCTCTGAAGAAAGGGCTCATCTTTCCCTCCTCAGGAGACACAGATGGTTAAGCAGGGGGACAGCTGGAGGTCAGGAGAGGTGCTGGGGGCAGACAGCAATGGCCTCTGTCCTGCGCCCTGTGGCAGGCAGGGCCCTGGCAAGGGTCTGGTCCCAGCCCCCCTGTGTGAATGGGGCAGAGCGGTGACCAGGAGTGAGGCTGCCCTAGACTAGGCGGGGCTGAGGAAGAGGAAGAGGCACAAGAGAGGCACCTGGAGGAAGAGCACTGGCCTGGCCTTAGGATAGGCTAAAGGACCTTCCTCCTGGCTCGATCTGGCACGGAGCAGCTGTGGCTCTACCTCAGAAGCCTACATTCTTGAGAACTGCTCCTTCTAGGCATTATCTCGGCGAAGGACTCATTTATTTTTAGCCAGGCCCACCAACTCGGCTCCACAAGCATTCCTGGAATATGGATAGAATGATGAATCAGACTGGGGCTGTGCCATAGATACAAAACAGGCTAATGGGGGCTTATTCTGGTCTCAGTTCTGCTGCTGCCTGGCTATGGGATTTGGTTTCCTAGGGCACCATGTGGGGACATTAGACCCTGCCTTGCCCCATCTGCTGACAAAGTGGCTGAGGATAACATGGGGGAACGGGAAGCTGTGTTCTGGGCAAGCAGCAGGGTGCTACGGGTGCCCTCAGGGTGAGCGAAAATGACAGTAATGAAAATAACAACGACACCAGTGCCCGCAATGTGGTAACGCAGCCACCATGCAGAGGCTGCGTGCTGGTGGGGCCAGCACAGGATTTGGCATCCGGCCAGCGTTTCAGTTCCGGCTCTTTCTAGTTTCTTCTTTGCAGTGTGTTCTTAACCCCTGTGAACCCTATTCTCCTTATCTATAAAATTGAGATGTATAACTCCTACCTCCGGGACTGCTTGGAGGCTTGGATGAGATAAGGCATGATGGAAGGGACACCGGTGTTTCAAATTCCACATTAAGCAGCAGTACCGAGCATCAGAGGGTCTCCCTCGCTAAGTCCTCCTCCTCAGCCTTCATCACAAGCTCTGTGCGCCCCTGCCTTCTTCCTCCCCACTGTCCTTTGCGTGGGGTCAGGCCTGGGCTCCCTCCAGCTTGGAAAACAGCAGCCAGTCCTGCTGTCTTCATCCTGGTCTCCAGACCGTCTGCTCTCTCAGAGGCCATGGGCCCTGCTCTCTGCCTTCTTAGTAACATCCTTGATGAGCTCCACTTTCTCAGGGCTGGCTTGTAGGTAGGGCGCTGTCGCTGTGCTGTAACAGCCTTAAATGGAGGTGTGTGAGCTGGATTACCAATACAAAGATTCATGCCAGGGCCCCTCCTGCCTTGGGACGTTGGCACTGGCTGTGCCTTCCACCTGGAATACTCCAATCGCCCCTCTCCATCCCTGCATGACCTTCTTCCTTACTTCAATCAAGTGCCACGCTAGGGCTGTCACTGAGCCATTTAAATGGCAGCTCTTATTCCCATCACTCCCCGTCTTGCCTCCGTCCTTTCCCTCCGTAGCACCTACTGCCATCTGGTGGACTGAACT